CAGTTAGAGAATAAAAGCCAGACAATCCTCTAACTTGCAAAAACCCCACAAATTACAAACAACTTATAGAAGTCTTCACTTATAACCTAATGAAAGAAATGTTTTGAAAAAAAAAAGATAATCTGACAGTTAACAATAACTAAATATCAAAACAGCAAGTCTGCACTATCAAATGACCCTAATAAATTGTGTCTGCACTATTACACAGGTCCACAGCTGTATTATAAACAAACCTAGACCCTAATAAGTTGTGTCTGCACTATACACAGGTCCACAGCTGTATTATAAACAAACCTAGACCCTAACAAGCTATGTCTGCACTATACACAGGTCCACAACTGTATTATAAACAAACCTAGACCCTAATAAGTTGTGTCTGCACTATACACAGGTCCACAACTGCATTTAAAAAAATCCTAGACACAACAATATACAAATATATGTATTCCCTAGTTAGTTGAGTCTGCACTATCACAGTCTGTTGCGGTAATTTTAAACCCGAAACGAATTGAAAAAACACATCTCAATGTGTGCTATATAAACCAGATTTGGCAATAGTAGCCTGCATGTGTCATTTAGTAACACAATTTTAAGATTGAAACCAAAATTGACCACTAGAAAAAACGATTACTGCTGCTCTCATTGACATGAAAAGTCGCACGTTTCCTCGAACATTCAAATGTACCCCATCTTCAGCTAGACATGAAGGTATAAGTCTCTTATGCCACCAGAAAACAACACGATTGCACGATTGACTTGCCAGACAGTTATTCACGCGTTGCCTAAGAAACTCATACTGAGTCGCCAAAACACCGCGTGTCTGTAATCTGACAAACAATGAGCCTACGACAACACATTGCAGACCAGATATCCCACAGAGGAGATCTCGACAAAGGCGAAAAATATCATCTGCCAGACGCTCTGGAGATGTACTTCCGACAATATCGTTACCTCCGATCTGTAAGAATATGACCTGAGGACCATAATTACGTAAGACGGACATAAACGAATACATTTGCTCAACTATTCCACCACTTTTCCAAAAATATTTGGTTACCGAGGTGCCATAGATGAACTCATTGTTATGGTCCATGTGCCTTACGTGCGACGATCCAACAACAGCAACTCTAAGCATTCTTATATGATGGTACCTTTAAGTAAGATAATAAATTTTGCGAGAAGGTTTTTTGAAATACCCACGTGCTAATACTTACAGCGCAAAAGGAAGTTCTTGACTTTCGGGACACTGAACTTCCATTCGGAAAAGCTCGGGGTTATACCAGCTCTATTAGTACATAATTATATGTGCTTTCAAATAACATATAAATGTTATTTTTAAAACAAACATTTAATTCATAAATAAAACTGACTGATAAAATTCTGTTAGTTATGCTTGCTTTTGAAAAATACGAAAATATCCGTACGCAAAGCTGGTTTTACACAGCTCCCGTTTATCGGACTCAACTACATCATTTAAATAATTACTGGACAGGATTCTGCTGTTGTGTCTGTTGTCCAAAGGATATATCTGGATCTATGCTGTTTCCAATGAAATGATTCAGGAGGACTGGTTCACCACAACAACGCTGAAGGTGATTTGGACTTTCGCAAGGTGATATAGGCCTATGTTCGTGCCAGTGTGGGCCAGGTCTTCAGCAAATTTTAAAATGTTACATGAACGTGTCAATCAGTGTGGTAGGTATTAATAATATACCATTGGACTGGGTAAGTGGTATATCTACCTTTAACAATGATGTATCCAGTAATATGTTGTCAGATGATAAACTGGCACAGACCTAAGATAGCTAACCTTGCTATATATGGTATCATTAATTTAATATATGTGCTCCTTAGGAGCAGATAATTATGGACTTTAATTATGATTTAATCATAATCACTCAAGTAGAATGAACTTTGATACTTGTCTATTCATTTCTAGTCAAATATTATTCTAAGGAGATAACCCTAGACTGTAAAGTTTATTTCAATATAGTTTTGCTGTATATCTGAAATTCCACAGTATTAATAAAGAGTGTCTATTTTTTCGTCGCAGTTAAGTTGGCATGTATATAGGTTGCACACTCTTGATGTTTGGCTTGGCGGATGACTGACAGGCTAATACCAAAGGTTGAGATTTCTTTACCATATATCAGCTCATATATGGGAAGTACACCTACACTGTGGTACCACAGGGTAGGCAATGGTAGACCATCTCATGTAAACCGGAATGGTCAGTTCTTTACTGTATACCAGTTCGAGCTATTTTGTCCCTAGAATAAACCGGGGACAGGTGTTTTAAATATGGTTAATAATACCATTTATATGTATTGTAAAAATCACACCGGGTTTACATAGAGAAACCGAGACTGGCAGTGTTACCACTGGGTCACTTACATGCCAGGTTAAATTTAGGCGGTTAGTTTCAGTCTGTCAGTCACCGAAAAAATAGGGGGGTCCGTTATATAATCTGCGAATTTGTAGTATTTCGTGAATCGTAACTGCGGCCAGAAATTCTCCAAGTCTACAGTGTAATTTGCTGTTTGTGTTATTTTGTTATGAATCTTTAACTAATAACGCCATACCACACACACCAATAACCACACATCCCAGAAGCTACATATATAAACTTCCATACCTCAAATATCTCATGACAGGATTCCAGGCCAGGTCTCGTACAGAACAATAATGTATGATGATCAAACTTGGTATTCAAATATATCATATGAAGCAGTGCGTTGTGTACCATACCGGACTCAACCCCCTTCTGTATTGAATATGATTTAATAAATTGTAACCACAATTATGAATATGTTACTTCACTTAATTCAAGTCGTCATTGGGGTAGAGTAATGATAATAATCGTTATTGTTTTCAATATCCATCCGTATCGACACAAGAGGAACCGTTTACGCTTAACATTGCATATCTATGAATAAAGATGGAAGAAAAAAAAAAGAAAAAAAAAACAACACAAAAAACGAACATAAGCTTAGAGCATGAAGGTTAAGAAAATCATCACATTCTATAACTGATTGCTGTTCGGGTAAAAGGGACCTCCGTCATAAATCAATAAGCTGCTAATCTAGAGAGAAAAGATGGAAAAGACAGGAAACAATATTCAGCTTTGAGATAGAAAAAATAATAATCCCCAACAACGCTATTTGAGCGGAGAAAAATACAATGCCAAATTGATTTTCACATACTTGTGTTAATCAAGCAGATAGCAAGGGCAGTTGAAGTTAAAGGTGGAATACAAGGTGTAAGAGAGAAGAACATGACTTAAAGACAATACCACTGTCTTGGTAGGTGTATGCATGTTTAATATCTATTTTTTTCTTAGAGAATAAACAGTTTGTATAAGATATAAAAATAATCATTACCGCATCAGCAGACAGGACTACACGTTGAAACAACACGAAACGTCAACAGTGGAAGCTGTGAGACGCGTGACAAATACCAGGAAATAAAGGTACGATGGTACGGGAATGGAGTAGAAAACAAAAGATAACGAGGGTACAGGAAAGGAGGAGAAATCAACAGGTACCGAGGGTACTAGAAAAGGGGAGAAAACAACAGGTAACGAGGATACGGGAATGGAGTAGAAAACAAAAGGTAACGAGGGTATCAGAAAAGGGGAGAAAACAACAGGTAACGAGATTACGAAAAAAGAGGTGAAAACAACAGGTAACGAGGGTACGGGAAAGGAGGTGAAAACAACAGGTAACGAGAATACGAGAAAGGAGGAGAAAACAACAGGGTACGAGGGCAGGGGAAAGGAGGTGAAACAACAGGTAACGAAGATACAAGCAAAGAGGAGAAAACAACACATAACGAGGATACGGGTACAGGAGGAGAAAACAACAGGTTACGAGAGAACGGGAAAAGGGGAGAAAACAACAGGTTACGAGAGAACGGGAAAAGGGAAGAAAACAACGGGTAACGAGGGTACGGGAAAGGAGGAGAAAACAACAGGTAACGAGGGTAGGGGTGAGGAAGAGAAATCAACAGGTAACGAGGATACGGGAAAGGAGGAGAAAACAACAGGTAACAGGGCACGGGAAATGAGGTGAAAACAAAGGGTAACGAGGGTACTAGAAAAGGGGGGAGCAACAGGTAACGAGGGCATGGGATAAGGGGAGAAAACAACAGGTAACGAGGATACGGGTTAAAGGGAGAAAACAACAGGTAACGAGGATACGGGAAAAGGGGAGAAAACAACACATAACGAGGGTATGGGTACAGAAGGAGAAAACAACAGGTTACGAGAGAACGGGAAAAGGGGAGAAAACAACAGGTAACGAGGGTACGGGAAAAGGGGCGAAAACAACAGGTAACGAGGGTACGGGAAAAGGGGCGAAAATAACAGGTAACGAGGGTACGAGAAAGGAGGAGAAAACAACAGGTAACGAGGGTATTAAAAAAAGGAGAGAAAACAACAGGTAACGAGGGTATAAAAAGGGGAGAAAACAACAAGTAACGAGGAAACGGGAAAAGAGGAGAAAACAACAGGTATCGAGGGTATTAAAAAAGGAGAGAAAACAACAGGTAACGAGGGAACGGGTAAGGAGGAGAAAACAACAGGTAACGAGGGTATTAAAAAAGGAGAGAAAACAACAGGTAACGAGGGAACGGGTAAGGAGGAGAAAACAACAGGTAACGAGGGTATTAAAAAAGACGAGGGTATTAAAAAGGAGAGAAAACAACAGGTAACGAGGGTATAAAAAGGGGAGAAAACAACAAGTAACGAGGGAACGGGTAAGGAGGAGATAACAAAAGTTAACGAGGGTACGGGAAGGTAGGAGTAAATAACAGATAGCGAGGGTACGGGAAAGGAGGAGAAAACAACAGGTAACGAGGGTACGGGTGAGGGGGAGAAATCAACAGGTAACGAGGATACGGGAAAGGAGGAGAAAACAACAGGTAACAGGGCACGAGAAATGAGGTGAAAACAAAGGGTAACGAGGGTACTAGAAAAGGGGGGAGCAACAGGTAACGAGGGTATGGAGAAAGGGGAGAAAACAACAGGTAACGAGGGTACGGGTAAAGGGGAGAAAACAACAGGTAATGAGGATACGGGAAAAAGGACGAAAACAACAGGTAACGATGGTTCGGGAAAAGAGGAGAAAACAACAGTTAACGAGGGTATGAGAAAGGAAAAGAAAACAACAGGTAACGAGTGTACGGGTAAAGGGGAGAAAACAACAGATAACGAGTGTATGGGAAAGGAGGAGAAAACAACAGGTAACGAGGGTATTGAAAAAGGGGAGAAAGCAACAGGTAACGAGGGTACGGGAAAAGGGACGGACACAACAGGTAACGATGGTTCTGGAAAGGAGGAGAAAACAACAGGTAACGAGGGTACGGTTAAGGAGGAGAAAACAAAAGGTAACGAGGGTACGGGAAAGGAGGAGAAAACAACAGGTAACGAGGGTACGGGTAAGGAGGAGAAAACAAAAGGTAACGAGGTTACGGGTAAGGAGGAGAAAACAAAAGGTAACGAGGGTACGGGTAAGGAGGAGAAAACAAAAGGTAACGAGGTTACGGGAAAGGAGGAGAAAACAACAAGTAACGAGGATATAAAAAAGGGGAGAAAACAACAGGTAACGAGAGTTCAGGAAAAGTGGAGAAAACAACAAGTAACGAGGGAACGGGTAAGGAGGAAATAACAAAAGTTAACGAGGGTACGGGAAGGTAGGAGTAAATAACAGATAACAAGGGTACGGAAAAGGAGGAGAAAACAAAAGGGTAACGAGGGTAATAGAAAAGGGGAGAAAGCAACAAGTAAGGAGGATACGGGAAAAGAGGAGTCAACAAAAGGTAACGAGGGCATGGGAAAAGAGAAGAAAACAACAGATAACGAGGGTACGAAAAAGGAGGAGAAATCAAAAGGTAACGAGTTTACGGGAAAGGAGGAAAAAACAACAGATAAGGAGGGTATAATAAAAGGGGAGAAAGCAGCAGCTAACGATGGTACGGGAAAAGGGGAGAAAACAACAGGTTACGATGGTACGGGGAAAGGGGAGGAAACAACAGGTAACGAGAGTAATAGAAAAGGTGAGAAAACAACAGGTAACAAGGGCACGGGAAACGAGGTGAAAACAAAGGGTAACGAGGGTACGGGTAAGGAGGAGAAAACAAAAGGTAACGAGGGTAATAGAAAAGGGGAAAAAACAACAGGTAACGAAGGTACGGGTAAGGAGGAGAAATCAACAGGTAACGAGGGTACGGGAAAAGAGGAGAAAACAACAGGTAACGAGGGTAATAGAAAGCGGGAGAAAACAACAGGTAACGAGGGCACGGGAAATGAGGTGAAAATAAAGGGTAACGAGGGTACCAGAAAAGGGGAGAAAACAACAGGTAAGGAGGGTATGTGGAAAGGGGAGAAAACAACAGGTAACAAGGGTACGGGTTAAGGGGAAAAAACAACCGGTAATGAGGGTACGGGATAAAAGGACGAACACAACAGGTAACGAGGGTACGGGAAAGGAGGAGAAAATAACAGGTAACGAGGGTACGGGAAAGGAGGAGAAAACAACAGGTAACGAGGGTAATAGTAAAGGGTTGAATGCAACAGGTAACGAGGGTACGGGAAAAGGGTAGAAAACAACAGGTAACGAGGGCACGAGAAAGGAGGAGAAAACAAAAGGTAACGAGGGCACGGGAAAAGAGGAGAAAACAACAGGTAACGAGGGTAATACAAAAGCGGAGAAAACAACAGGTAACGGGTGCACGAGAAATGAGATGAAAACGAAAGGTAATTAGGGTACTAGAAAAGGGGAGAAAACAACAGGTAACGTGATTACGAGAAAGGAGGAGAAATCAACAGGTAGCGAGGGTATGAAAAAGGAGGAGAAATCAACAGGTACCGAGTGTACGGGAAAGGAGGAGAAAACAACAGGTAACGAGGGCATGGGAAAAGAGGTGAAAACAACAGGTAACAAGGGTATGGGAAAAGGGGCGAAAACAACAGGTAACGAAGGTAATAGAAAAGGGGAGAAAACAACAGGTAACGAGGGCATGGGAAAAGAGGAGAAAACAACAGGTAACGAGGGTACTAGAAAATGGTTGAAAGCAACATGTAACGAGGGTACGGGAAAAGGGGAGAAAACAACAGGTAACGAGGGCATGGGAAAAGAGGAGAAAACAACAGGTAACGAGGGTTCTAGAAAAGGGTTGAAAGCAACAGGTAACGAGACTACGGGAACAGGGGAGAAAACGAAAGGTAACGGTGACTGTAAAATTGCCATAATATTTTAACTCGTCACTCGTTGATTTTATACCACGTGGTGTGGGAATAGACGACAGCCGTAACACGTGTGTGAATGATGAATACTATGTGCACATACATTTTGTTGGAAGCTCCACTATCTGACAGGCGTTTTAACATATCAACATTTTAATAACATGTTTAACATTTTGCGAAAAGCACGGCGTTTGCACATGTGTGTGAACGAGTACTGGATAGTGGAAGCGTGTGCACATAAAATTTGCTGAAGCATATTAACCATTTGACAATGCATTCTAACAGTTTAATACACACTACTGGTTGTGACAGTCCACGTGGGCCACACATTGTAGCCCCTACACCACCCCACAGTAGATCTGTGTCCAACTCTCATGATTGTGATGGGCGCAACTCAGAACAGTTGTATGAGCTATACGGCGAGCGTGACCCACCACCGCGTGAAGAGCCACAGATCCAGCAATCCCCAGTGAATATAATCCCAGCAATGTCGACGGAAAAAGTATCCCTTCGTAAATACTCTGGATATTCACACGAGGACGGAGAAAAATTCTTGGCTGAGTTTGACTACACGATGGGACAAATACAGGAGAGAAGCCATTCCAACGCGTTTGTAGGAAGTCAATAGTGATTATCGTGAAACTGACATGATCGATGAACTCAGCTATATGATCAGCTATGATTTCTACAGTTTATGACCATTTTGTTAATTTGCCATTTCTATTTATACATTTTTTTTGTAAACTTGTCTTACACGTATATGAGATCTATGTTGTTTTGAAACATTTCTTACTTGGTAGTGTGAGGTTCTTAACATGGTTTGTAGATAAAATGTACCTGTACTCGTATACCGGTACAAATCGTGCTGCATTCATTCAAATTTGACATTCTATGTTTGTTGTTTAGTTAGTAGATATATAACAAGTGCTTTAAATTAGGTTTAGCAAAGAAGCTACTATACCTGTATATATCGCTGTTACCACCATTTCATTTATGAGTTTGCGAATAATCCTGCAGTACTTACATTTACACTCACAATGTTGAAATTGGTAATCCCTGCTTGTATTAACTTTAAACAGGATTGGTTTTATGAGTTAAAATGTTCTTTTTTTTCAATTGCAAATTTTGTATAGATCTCGAATGTTGAAGAGTACATGGATTTGATGTTTTCCTATTCTATTGACCACATGAATAACGTTACCCGATATGTAGAGTGCATATGATATTAGACGCACCTTTCTTTGCATAATGGTTCATGAGAGGATGATTTTTATTAGGAATGAACTGTGTAAAAAGTTAACAAAAAGTCTGCATGGGTTGATGTAGTGGTTATATATACAGTATTCTATTCTAAGTACCTTGTGATGAGACACATTGACTTGTATCTATACTCTTTTGTACCATTTATGTTATATGCCAGAAAATACTAGATCATTTATAATGAGAGAATTGACAAATTGTGCAGGCGAGTGTTTGTGTGAGAGCATGTCACCTGTGGCCATGGGTGATTTAAGAGTATTTTGTATGTAGTTCTATAGTAATTTCTCACTCGTCCCATTGTATTTTGTATGTAGGTCTATAGTAATTCTCACTCGTCCCATTGTATTTTGTATGTAGGTCTATAGTAATTT